CGTGCTGGAGAACGGAGAGAACTTCTCTGTAGGAGAGAGACAACTCGTTTGTATGGCGAGAGCACTACTACGCAACTCCAAGGTTTGTACATGAATTTCTGTCTTCTGACTTCTTGTTATTTACACACTTGCCAGTTTTTCAGCTGCTCTACTGCCACATTTGTCGTGGTTCTGTTCTGATCAGCCGTCAGTGGGCTTTAACAGCTGCAGAGACTTCTGATGGAGTTTGTGTCTGCACACAGGATCACTGTACTAATACTAACTAAGACACACAGTTACCATCACTGCCAGAGCAGCAGTGCTTCCTGCTGACATTTCCTGAGACATGGTGTCTCTTGAACACTGGAAAGACTTTATTAGGCTAAATGTTTCGGGGAAATTTAAAAATATGTAACTTATTAAACCTGACCAGTAATTATCAGTTATTGAGGGAAACAACAGATCATAAAAGGCAAATCTTTCTAAAAAATTAAGAAAGTTGTTTGTGGTCCTTTTGTTGTTCAGACCTACAATTAACATATATTTTAACCAGATGGTGAAAAAGTAACCAAATCAAATATACAACTTGAGTTTATGTGATTTCACTCTAGTATGAAATCTCAGTAACGTTAAGAAATATCAGATCAGTCCGATCAGCTGAAGCGTCCAATCAAATAACTGATAAACAATAAGGGGGCGTGTCGTTCCGTGAAGGCTGCTCTTCCTCGCTCATGGCTCCTCAGATAACCATCCTTGCTCAGATAACAGAGCAGACAGAAGAGCTTTGGGACGGCTGTCAAGATGGCGGACCAGAACAATAAGTGAGGAGTGAGGAAATGACAAATAAGAGACTGAAGATGTACCAATAGTCCTGTCTTCTCACTGTTGGTTGTCGTCTCGTCTTTCATTCCTTCCTTGTTGCATGGAGTTCTGTTTGTGTACCTGCCTAACAGACCACCTGCTTTATTTGGACTCTGAAAGCCATTTAAATACAATCACTGAATTGTTCCTGCAGCCTCCTCATCTGGGACTGTGTTTGGGTCCTTCCCCTGCTCCCTGCATCTGCATGTGTTGCAAAACCAACCAAACTAACTGCCTGTGACATTGATATTATTCACAATTGCATCAATTAACCCACCACGACCAGTATTCCTCTCTTCGTCTGGACTAACTGTCCCTCCTGTTGTCCAACAGATCATTCTTTTGGACGAGGCAACAGCATCCATCGATGCAGAGACCGACGCCTTGATCCAGACCACCATCAGTGAAGCCTTCCAGGACTGCACCATGCTCACCATCGCCCATCGCATCAACACTGTGATGCACGCCGACCGTATTCTGGTCATGGACAACGGAGAGGTAACAGATTAAAGATAAGATAAAGATGACGTTTACGTGCTTCTTAACCTAGACTAACAGTCAGTGATTTGGCCGACAGGTGGCCGAGTTTGACCATCCAGATGTGCTGAAGCAAAGACCGGACTCTCTGTTCTCCTCACTCCTGCTGCCAACACTGTGAACACCTGAACAACAGAGGCCCTGCTACACACTAAACACTGTAACATAATAATATTATAATATAATAAATATATTTTCACAAACATATCTTAATCAGTCCTGTCATATTGTAATCTTGAGCAGCAGAGAAGGGGTCCAACATTCATGGAGAAAAAGACACGGTTTCTGTATTTCACCTCACAACCTGTAAAGATGGATTTATCTCCACCGTCTGCTGAAACCAATGCACGGACAACGTATAACAAGAATAGGCAAGAATCTGTATAGGAGCGGATTTGAATGTATATTTAAAACACATTATTTATTGATTTTCTTTGACTTTGTTTGCTGCCACTTTGCAAAGCTTCTCTGTGTGAAGCGTCAGTCTGCTGGGTGAATATGCACTACATGCAACAGCACAGCGGCACTGAGGGACGACACAACAGCAATCTCACAAAACAGCAAACCACTAAAACCGAAAGATGTAGGTTGGTTGTGGCCGATGATTCCTCGTCAGTGAATGCGACAAACAGTACAACTTCTCTCCCAAAGGTTTCGTGAAATGTTTTAGTGTTTAGTGAAATGTTGGTTTGACTCTAAAGGCCACCGTACAATATATTGTGAAACATCCATCGCACTTCATAATATCAAAATATAATATATAGTTTTTCACGTAAAATATATAAACAATGTTGCTGCAGGCGCAAAGTGGTAATCATGAAAATGTGTCAGCTTCAGTCATACTGTGTGCTGTTTGCTGACACATGTTTCTCCTTCCTGTCCAGAATGTGCATTTCAAAGGTGTTCAAACACATTAGCTTTGTATGTAATGATACTCATTACTGTGTCTACAGGCTACAGGGCGGCTGTTTTTGCATTAACAGGTCTTTTTTTACCCAAATTGATCCGACACCAACGATCCTCTTCAGTGAAGCCATAAGGAAATATGGATTGAATAGCTGATGGTGGCTAATGCTCTTATAGTTTTGCAAAGTCTGTGAATTTGTTTAAAGATCAGGTCATAGAGAGAGTTTGCCACGACATGTCTTTTAAAAGAGAATTCCACACACACGGGCGTCATAATCTCAGCAGTGTGTTATGAGGAAGAGGGTTGTCTTCTCTGTGAAATGCTGTTAAGGACTTTCCCTTCATCTGCGGTTACTATGTTTTACTGGCGAGGCCCGTCCTCAGCCTGCTCTTACAATCCCTCCTATTCTCCATCCTCACGATATAAACAATGAGGATGCACAATATACAGATGAAGATGTATAATCTTTACATATGAACATTTAACCTCTTAAACAATCAACAAGAAATAGAAACATATTAAAATGTACAATAGAGTATGAAAGAATATAAAATAAAGTGCACAACAAACAGATAACAGTACTATAAACAAGTATGATGAAGTGTAATGTAAAGTGTCAAGTGTTTAAATGAAGAAATATATATATATATATATATATATATATATATATACATACACATACATACATACATACATACATACATACAATAGATATCCTGATGCACACTCCATACCAGTTGGTGGCGGTTATGCACCAATCATTGATCATTGTTTGCCAACCGCCAATAAACCTCAAAGAAGAAGAAGAAAGAAGATCTTATTTTGAAAACCGGAGGTTGTCCCCCCACGTCGATCATTCCGCCAACTTCCGCTCGCTCCCGATCTGGGGTCTGTTGTTAATGCGTTCAATCATGAATTTCAGAATATAGGTGCGGTAAAGTTTCACAGTGTCGACGGACTTGACCGCAGTATGCAGACAGACAGACAGACAGACAAACAAACATACATATAGCCCTGGTGGACAGACAGACAGACAGGCAGACAGACAGGTCCCAGCAGCGTCACAGCCCTGTGTGTTGGTTGGACCTAACGGTAGTTGCAGTGGAAGGTTCCATGCATGTCACCTTTTCACAGTAAACTGTCCATGAAATGCACAGTCTTGTGTAAGCACTACGAGGAGGCCTGTTTGGCAGTTTTACTGGTAAGCGAGCTTTATTTTTTATTTGTATTTGTTTTAATTAATTATTCAAGCGAACGTCAGAAAGTGTATCTAGCAAAAAGGTAACCCTAGCTATGATACAGCAGATAAGCCAATCTATAATGCTGGAGCTAAAATCGCTCCTTTAAGACATGAATATGCATATTGGTATGTGATTAACTTAAGGTAATAACTCTATTGTTATCTGCACATTATAGTGTCACGTCTGTGATTACGGTATTGTATGATTTTGCTAGCTGAGTAACGTGAGAGGAAAGTTAGCTTAATGTTAGCTAGCTAACATAAACAGCAGCATTATTTGACAATATTAACGGTTAATTGTTTTTTTTCCGCACGCGCTGGTAAAGGCTGCTGTTAACCGTTTCTTGTGTGATGTCATGTTTTTAAATTTTAGCCGTTGGTGATAATCACCATGTTTGCGGTTGGTGATAAACTGCCCTTCTAATCTGACACAACAAGCAGGTTAGCACAAAGCTAACTGTCTAATGTCACTGGTGGTTAGCTAAGTTATTTATTTAAGTGCTAACAACTTCAGCTGAGATAAAAATGAAAAACAAATTAATTAATGCATTGGGCTGTGGCTGCAAGATGACTTGTCCAGTTAGCTTAGCTAGCTAGCTAACTGGACAGTTGGTACAATTACAATATGATTGGTCGGTTAGCAGCTAGCTAACCAGTAGAAACTAATATTTAAAAAGTAGAAACCAGTAGAAACTAATATTTTAAAAATAGAAACCAGTAGAAACTAATATTTAAAAAAATAGAAACCAGTAGAAACTAATATTTAAAAAAATAGAAACCAGTAGAAACTAATATTTAAAAACCAATAGAAACTAGTACAAATTAATATTAAAAACCAGTAGAAATAATATAAAAAAACAATAGAAACCAGTAGAAATTAATATAAAAAAGAAATATGTAGAAATTAAAATAAAAAACAAGAAACCAGTAGAAATTAATATTAAAAAAAGAAATATGTAGAAATTAATATAAAAAACAATAGAAACCAGTAGAAATTAATATTAAAAAAAGAAATATGTAGAAATTAATATAAGAAACAATAGAAACCAGTAGAAATTAATATAAAAAACAATAGAAATATGTAGAAATTAATATAAAAAGAAATGTGTAGAAATTAATATAAAATAGAAACCAGTAGAAATGAATCTAAAAAACAATAGAATAAAACAATATTGTTTACCTAAACAACTGCAGTGTCTAAGATAATCCTTTATTAGTCCCGCTGTGGGGACATTTACAGGATTACAGCAGCATAGTATATATATATATATGAATGAGAGAGAAGCAACAACAACTGCAATCAAGCGTTTGCGATAACTGGCTGTTTGCGATAACGCTGTTTTTATCGTTTGCGATAACGCTGTTTTCAAGTTTGTGACATTATGCAGACAATAATGAA